AACCAAGTGCACCCCCCCCCAGCCGTCCATCCCCCGGAACCCAGCAGCCACCCCGGCCAGGGGACCACCTACAGGAACCAAGAGCCACACCTCAGGAGACCAAGCAGCACCAGGGAGGACGGAGAGCCAGCCCCGCCCCCGGCAACCGTCCAAGCCCCAAGCCCACCCACAGCCCAGGACCGCACCCAGCGGTCCGCCCTTCTTCAGGACTCCCTCCCCAAATGGCAGTCAGGGAACGGGATGGGAATAACGACCCTGACACCCACACCCCCACCCTCAGATGTACTGTTGGTGCGTGTTGTTCTATGGAGCAATTAAAAACTTTAATCTCTGCTWAAAACTCATCTTTACTCCTCGGCCTTTCATTCTGCTGGAGTTAGAGATTTATTTTTTTAAAGACGAAGTTTTAAATGTTGTATTTTTATTTTAAATTGATCTTTTTATTTATTTTTTACATTTCTGTGTTGCTTTTGTCGTTTTTTTCATTTATTTGGTTGAATTGTGAAGCAGTTTGGTCAACTCTTGTTGTTTTTATTGCTCTATAAATAATGACATTAACAATAACACTCACTTCCCCTGGAAGTCACCCAGACTTTCACAATAAAAGGACCTAAACATCTCTATACGTTCTGTCATTTATGTTTTACTGTTATTTTCATATTTRCTAATGTTGATTTGTAAAACGCTCCTCCTCATTCTGAGCTCTAATGAACGACATCTTGTTTGAAAGGTGTCTAAATAAGATGCAGAAGCTGAAAGCTTGTGTGAATTAATGAATAAATTTCAGTTGGTAACCCTGTGAATTGTGTTTTATTTAAATTATTATTTTATTTTTAGTTCAACATTTTTGTTTATTAGTCTTGTAAAGATGAAGAAATGTTCATGTTCTGTGGTGTTAAAGGACGTGTGTTATAAATGTTGATTTTTGTGTGAGAATGTCTTTGTTTGTTTTGTGTAAATGTTTGAATTTGTTCAATAAAAAAAATCATATTTCCTGATTGAACCTGTACTTCCTGTTTCTCCCAAAGGGGGCGGTATATTTACTGGAAATGAATTTAAAACCAGTAAAGTTACAGGAAATACAAGAGAAACTTTCTGTTGATCAAATAAAATTTATAAAGACCAACAGACATCATTTAATGTTAATAACTTTTAAATTTGATCATTTTTACTTAGTAATAACGTGATAATTTTGAGTTTTTCTTAATTTGAATAGTTTTTGTCTAATTGTTGACTTTCTCATGTCGGTTTGCTCTTCTTTCCATTCAACGACATTTATTTTGTAGGATGTGTACCGGAAGTTACTCGCTCAGGTGACAGGTGTTTGAGCTTTCCGGTTGTTCCGACAGTCTGCAGCAGCTGGAGTTCGGTCCGGACGTCATACTAAAGTTGAACTCTGTGAATAAAGCAGGTAAAAAACACAGTAAAGTTTTTATTTTTAARGTTTTAAACAGTTTTTCAGGTGTTTGTTTAACCGGAAGTTCGCTGTTAGAAACGTTTTAAATGTTAAATGTTGTGAAAAAGATCATTAGAAGCAGCTGGTCCAGTTGGACCTCAGATAACCTCAGCTACTTCCGCATTCAGACTGAGCTGTTGTTGTTGTTGTTGTTGTTGTTGTTGTTGTTGTTGTTGTTGTTGTTGTTCCCTCAGGGTCAGAGGTGACTTCCTGTTTTGGACCTGGCTATAAACTGGTGGACAGTAATGCAGTACTTTTACTTGAGTACTGTACTTGAACACATTTTTTGAGTATCTTGAGTACTTATTCTTCGGGGTACTTCTGACTGTTACTCCACTACATTTCAAAGACAAATATTGTACTTTTTACTTTACTACATTTCTGTGTTTAAAAACTCACTTTGTTGTGTTTTTATGTTAAAGTTTTCACAGCAGGTGTAGATGTAGTGTTTCTGACTTACAAAGATACAGCTGTGTACTGATATTAGAACATTTAAACACTTAAGTACTTTCAAAAGTAAGTACTTCAGTACTTTAACTTGAGTAGATTTTTGACAGAGTAACTTTTACTTGTAGCAGAGTAGATTTGACCCTGAGTACCAAGTACTAGAGTTAAGTACTTTGTCCACCGTTGGTTATAATAATAATAATAATAATAAAACCCTGTGTTTCTGGTTCAGGTTCAGGTTCAGGTTCAGGTTCTGGTTCTGGTTCTGGTTCTGGTCCAGGATGGGCGTGTTTAAAAACTCCTGGGTTCTCCTGGAGCTGAAGGACCTGCCCTTCAAGGAGAAGAAGAAGCTGAAGTCTGCTGTGACCGAGAACGGAGGCAGCATTTCATTCGTGGTCAACAAAAAGGTCAGAGAACTGGTCCAGAGTCCGGCTCCAGAACTGGTCCAGAGTCCGGGTCCAGACCTGGACCTGTCTCAGGTGTGGAGGGCAGGTGACTGACAGCTGTGTCTCCGCCCACGTTTCCCACAGTGCTCTCTGGTCGTCACCAGCTCCATGGACAAGCTGAGCTCCAACCGGCTGCGCAGCATCCAGAGGTACCGGACCCCCGTGGTGGGCACGGACTACGTCCTGAGCTGTGTGGACAGAGGCGTCCTCCTGCCCCTGGACGAGTACACGCTGAGCACCTCGTCACCGCCCTCACCTGTCCGTCGTCCTCCGTGTCCAGGTGCTGCAGTTTGTCTCTGTAGGAACTGTGTAATCTGAGCTCCGCCCTGATTACCCATCAGCCCCTGCTGCACCTGCARTGACCTTACAGGTGTGCCCAGGTGTGGCTCAGCGAAGCTTCATGTCTCAACSTGGTTCTGACTGGGTTTACATGATTCTGAAGAACAGGTTAATCTCACCTGAACACACCTGAAGTGTTTGATGAGGGATCAACAGGTAGAGCTGAAAGGTTCAGGTGAACCACAGCAGCCAATCAGAGGACAGGGACTGGTTTTACATCTCTGAGTTAAACACTGGAGGAGTTTCTGACACCTGCAGGCCAGGTGTGTGGCAGTCCTCAGTTTGTAGACCGGACTGGTTCTGAACCAGGGTTATTATAGTTCACTAAAACTGTGTAATCTTTACAAAACTAACTGAAATATAGATATAATATCTTTAGTTTTAYTGTTTGTCGGTTTATTTTGAGCTCTGTGAACTGATTCAACTAATTTATTTATTAATTTTCTTCAAATTAAACAGTTTGACATGAACTGTGAGCAGCTTACAGCACCTCATGGTAACGTCACCTGTTTCCAGTCTGCTGCTGCACAGAGCTCACCTGTAAAGTGACAACAACAGTTGGGAGAAAGTAGTAAAGTAAAGTCTGATTTGGGATTTCTTTGAATAAAACTGGGAGAGGATTAAAAGCATCTTGCAGTGGAAACAGGTGGTAGGACAGGTGGAACAGAGACTAATTAACTGTTTCTTAACAAGCAGCTTCTCTTAGTTCCTGTGAAAAACAAGCTGGACTCAGGAAGCACCAGGATGTACACAACTATTGTCTCCTTAAAACAATCACACAAGTGTAACTATAACAGACTGCTTTGACTGGTGATCAGAAATCTGCTGGTTAGTTATGGTTAGTGAACTCACAGGACCATCACAAGCTGGAGGACACATTGACAAATATATTTATTCAAACTATATAAGAAATAATACTAGAAC